AAGGAACAGTCTTAACCTGCACACAAAAATTAATTATGAATTTTTTGGAAATATTAAACATGTTTTCGAATTTAATCATTTAACCCAATGATACGCATCAAATAGCTTATTATGTTGTTTTTTTTTTTTTTTTTTATGTTATGATGCCTACAAAAATATACCTACTATCCACTGCAATATAAATATATGCACAAATGGAAAACGTATTTGTGTGGCAGAACTTTCAATTTAAATGAAAGGTAAATCAAATGTATACACCACTATTCAAATAATAAGTACCAACATAATTTCAAGCCATTAACGTGTTACTCTTCTACTCTTGAGATTTGTCAGCTGGATTTTGAGTGGAGGTTGAAGGACGAGTTTTGGGTCTACAAGAAAAATGCGACTTCTTGCTCTATGTCTAATAACAATCTCATCAAAAGTATGATCCTACAAAATCTCACGGAATGTGTTCGAACATATCGTGTATAGATATATAACAAATAACATTTTGTAATACGTATTATGTCAAATGGAGGAAATTATGTAGTAATTATTTATCAAACTATTTCAAAATGTATCATTTTATTTAATTTATTAATTCACTTCAACAAAATAGGCTATACTATAAATTTCTCCTTCGCTGATCATCATGGTCATAACTTTGCTATTTTAACGACAAAAATAGCAAAGTTATGACCATAGTGATCAGCGAAGAGGAAATTTATAGTATAGCCTATTTTGTTGAAGTGAATTAATAAATTAAATAAAATGATACATTTTGAAATAGTTTGATAAATAATTACTACATAATTTCCTCCATTTGACATAATACGTATTACAAAATGTTATTTGTTATATATCTATACACGATATGTTCAAACTTACATTCCGTGAGATTTTGCATTAGGTCATTGCTTTTAAAGATCTATAGACATGAGCAAGAAGTCGCGTTTTTCTTGTAGACCCAAAGCATCCTTGCGAAAATTGACTTAGTAGTAACTTAAAAAATGTTACACACAAAAAACTTGTTTCGGCTTTTTTCATATGGAACAAAAACAAACGCAAGGCAACTGAATTACTCTTTCTGTTGCTGCTGCTATATTGAAAAACTTTGGGATAATACATTTAAAGTAACCACCTGTCAATTGCTTTGCTGTAGTCGACATGGCCACCACCATAATTGTTTGAGGAGGAGTTGCCAATTCCAGCAAAATGGCGTGGTGATTCTACATGGGCTGAAGACGATGAACCGCTATTGCTGGCGTCCATGGCCGTGTCTCCGTGCAAGCCGTGCAAATAGTCAAAGTTCATCGATGACTCTGACTGATAAGGCACGGAAGGATTATCGCAATACTCCTGAGGTGGTGGAACAGGAGTTGGGTCAATTTCCATTGGTCGATTTCTTCTTTAGAGCTCCGAATGAAAGGTTTCAAAATGTATGGAAAATATGTTTAACACACTTCTTGCTTCTGTCCTCAGCGGTAGCGTACTGTTGCTGTTTCACGTTACTGTTTTCTACGACAAACCAAAGCTGAGTAGGCGGCCTTTTGTCCAAATGCCCAGTTGTACGTTTTGTGCAGAGATCCGATTAAATGAATATATTTCTCACCGATACCACGTAAAATTTAAATTGTCCGTATGAGTGTTTGATTCACCTATCGTTTCCGAAACTCTTTGCTCACTGTCAATAATACTTTTGTTTCCTACACTGAAAAGATCAGAGACAATATGTTAATATAAGTGTTCGCTGTTACCTATCGACGGCCATGCTTGTGTCGTCTGCTGCGCCGCTACTGCTATTGTTTATGTTCTGAGCATTATTAGTGGCCGAGGATGCATCATTATCTCCGAACAAATGATCCCAAATATTATTGAAATTTGTTGTGACATTTGCTCCAAAGCTGCCAGCACCTGTTCCCGTACCACCTTGTTGTGGATTGGCACCGACATTTTCGTCCAAACGACGACGTTTTAACTTACTGAAAATGTTATCAAACATTTCATGGCTAATCTAGAACATTTCAAGGAGCCTCAATTTCCTTCAGAACTACAAAAGATTGCTTTAATTTTTATGTTCAGTTTGCAGTAAAGCCAGAGTTTCAAACTTAGAACTGTCGAAATATATTCAGCGCACAGGGCAATGTTTTGTTACTTCTAGAATGAATAACTATGCACGCACTTTCTCGAAATAATGGCTCTTGAACATAAACAAAGCACCTCACACAGAGACGTCACTGTGGGACGAGACAGAATTGCAGAATACACAAATACATACATACATGTTGTTAAAAGATGTTTTGTTATTCTTTTGCCGAAACTGGCCTTTGGCTTTTGTCAAGTTGAAATATTGGAAATTTGTAACAAGCTCTCAACAATTTCTACGGTAAATTTGTTGGAAAAATGTACTATGTATACTTTTTATAGCTATTTAGCGGTAATATGTTCCTTAATTTGTCGACAAACGAAAATTTTTCATATACTCTCTACGGCTCTCGTAGGTATGTCATTCTCTCGATATTTTTGACGCGATTTATTTATTTTGTGGACATGTATCGACATTAACAATTCGATTAAAGTTAATACTATCGATATAATCTGCCATTTTTTTCAAAAGTCTCGTCAAAGTAAACATTAGGGGTCTGTTCCCGTACTGCAAGAATCTACTATTTTATTTTTTTGTCGATATCATAAAAGAACATTTGTTACATAGTAAAAAGTAGTAGATTCTTGCAGTATCGGAACTGACCAAAGGTGCGTCTGTTTTTTAGGTAACAATTGTAGAGAGATCTTCAGGCATACGCAGAATGGATCCGTTGGGCCATACATAGCGTTAATTGTTATCGAAAATAAAAGAACTACAAAAGATTGCTTTAATTTTTATGTTCAGTTTGCAGTAAAGCCAGAGTTTCAAACTTAGAACTGTCGAAATATATTCAGCGCACAGGGCAATGTTTTGTTACTTCTAGAATGAATAACTATGCACGCACTTTCTCGAAATAATGGCTCTTGAACATAAACAAAGCACCTCACACAGAGACGTCACTGTGGGACGAGACAGAATTGCAGAATACACAAATACATACATACATGTTGTTAAAAGATGTTTTGTTATTCTTTTGCCGAAACTGGCCTTTGGCTTTTGTCAAGTTGAAATATTGGAAATTTGTAACAAGCTCTCAACAATTTCTACGGTAAATTTGTTGGAAAAATGTACTATGTATACTTTTTATATCTATTTAGCGGTAATATGTTCCTTAATTTGTCGACAAACGAAAATTTTTCATATACTCTCTACGGCTCTCGTAGGTATGTCATTCTCTCGATATTTTTGACGCGATTTATTTATTTTGTGGACATGTATCGACATTAACAATTCGATTAAAGTTAATACTATCGATATAATCTGCCATTTTTTTCAAAAGTCTCGTCAAAGTAAACATTAGGGGTCTGTTCCCGTACTGCAAGAATCTACTATTTTATTTTTTTGTCGATATCATAAAAGAACATTTGTTACATAGTAAAAAGTAGTAGATTCTTGCAGTATCGGAACTGACCAAAGGTGCGTCTGTTTTTTAGGTAACAATTGTAGAGAGATCTTCAGGCATACGCAGAATGGATCCGTTGGGCCATACATAGCGTTAATTGTTATCGAAAATAAAAGAATTACAAGGGAGCGATAACACCAAAGTAAACATTAGGGGTCTGTTCCCGTACTGCAAGAATCTACTATTTTATTTTTTTGTCGATATCATAAAAGAACATTTGTTACATAGTAAAAAGTAGTAGATTCTTGCAGTATCGGAACAGACCAAAGGTGCGTCTTTTTTTAGGTAACAATTGTAGAGAGATCTTCAGGCATACGCAGAATGGATCCGTTGGGCCATACATAGCGTTAATTGTTATCGAAAATAAAAGAATTACAAGGGAGCGATAACACCAACGCTTGATGTTAATGTGCGTTGCGCTTCGAAGTTAAATATATTTTAACTTTTTGCATGCGTTAGCGCGATAACAAAAAATGTTCAACGCGACCATTCTGGTTAGCCCTTTAACGCAATAAGAAAAAACGCGTATTGCGATCATTGTTCCTGTAGTGCAAGAATCTACTAATTTTTTTATTCGGCGGGACCGAACTTAACCACGTCGTTATTTGTTTGTTTTTCCCTACCTGTGGCTGTACATACATCATTTCTTTCTCGATAAGGAACAATGTCTGCGCCAACACATTAATTTTTTTACCGACAATAGCAAATTTCAATAATAATTAAACGGAACACGAGAAGAAAACAATTAATCGAGTTTGCTGTAAAATATGGAATTATTTCAATTGCACTTTATTATGTATATATATTTTTAGGCGTTCTTCATTTATATTATTTCTATTTACTTATTATGTATGCATATGCATATGAAAAATCCATTGGGTTTACTATACATTTTTTAAATATTGTTACGAATATAACTTTAGATTTAAGTTAATTTAGACGAATTCCGTTAATTTAAGAATTTGAATTGTAGCGTAAATTTCTACTACGCAGTTTATTTGAATAACTTCACAACAACAACCACTGTATAGATTTTTCTACATCCTTCCATTTCCTCTTTCATTTTCTATTTTGTTATTGTCGTACAATTCTTGTTAAACGTCATTCCTCTTTCTTTGTTATTCCCTCGCCTGTATATGTGTTGTTGTTATTCCTCTTTCTTTGTTATTCCCTCGCCTGTATATGTGTTGTTGTTATTGTAAGTTTGTTTACTCAAGTTTGTTGTTGTTATTGTTCACTCAGTAAGTTTGTTGTTGTTATTGTTACTCAATGTGTTTGTTGCATTGGTAGATTGTTCGTGATCTAGGTGTTACCAGATCGTCTAGAAACTTCTGTAGCGACAGGCAGGGCTCATATAAATAGAGGGAATGGAAAGGCAGTGAGTCAGTTGTGAATCAGATCGCGAATTGAAACCGTCGTGTAAAGTAAAGTGCAAAGTAAAGTTGTGTGAATAAAATCATTGTAATAATCGTAATCAGAAAGAACCCGCGTTTTATTTGGTACGAATTGTATCGGGAAATAAAACAACGTCTACACGGGATTTAAGTGAAGTCCAAGAACGTAACAATTGGTGTCGGAAGTGAGATTACGATAATACTACGATGAAGTTCAAGGATCTACGAGTGGAAGACTTGAAGAAGGAGCTCAATAAATTGGAATTGTCCTCTACTGGCAACAAGGCTGAGCTACAAAAACGTCTGTTGGATGAGTTCGGGCGCCGTGGTATGAACATCGATACATATGAGTTTGACAGTAAGGATGAAGTGGATTTATCGGAAATTAGCGAATCCAACGGTGGGGAAGCCTCGTCAGTAGCTGCCAGGGGTGACGATTTAAGAGAAATGCTGGCTAAAATGTTTGAGGAAAATTACAGAAGGAGCGAGGAAAATTCGAGAAGAATGATGGATAAACTCGAGAACATTACAGAAGTTATTGGAAGGAGAGTGGAAACCGTGGAGGTCCAAATAAAAGAGTTGGATAAGAAAGTGCAGTCGGTTGACGAGAAGATTCTGTCTGTGGATGAGAAATTTCTGGTCCACGACCACAGGGTTACGAATCTGGAGAAGAAAATATCAGAACTGGAAATTAAGGGTGGTCCGGTGCGAGTTCCTGATACCACACTAAAAATCAAACCTCCTGTATTCGACGGCTCTACGTCATTCAATGTTTTCAAGTTACAGTTTGAGACAGTGGCTTCTAGAAATTCATGGAACGACAGCGACAAAGCGGTTGCACTACTTCTGGCATTGAAGGGCAGTGCTGCGGATGTTATACAGAGTATTCCTGTCGCTTCTAGAAGCAACTATGAAGATGTTATTGCTGCACTGGAACGTAAGTACGGTGGCGAACATAAACAAAACATCTACCTTATGGAAATAAGGGGAAAAGTACAGAGGGCAAACGAGACGCTACAAGACTTTGCAGCTGAGGTGGAACGTTTGGTGCTAATGGCGTATCCAGGAGAGAATCACCCATTGCTGGACCGTATGAAAATCGAAACCTTTGTGAATGGCATACGTGACCCTGAGATTAAATGTGCAACATATGCGTCACCAAAAGCGTCGTTTGCCGAAACTGTGTCGTTTGCCCTTGCCCAAGAGACGGCAAGAATAATTGTTAAGCCCCAGACCCACAAGATTCGCCAACTGGAGACCGAATGTTGCGAACACAAATCTCTCGTTAACTTGATCAAGGACGCCATGAGGCGGGTAATAGAAGAAACAAAGTTTGTAGGGATGACTAAGCACAGGGTTAGATGCTACAACTGCGATAAAGCAGGTCATATTGCGCGCGAATGCAGAGCTAAGCGCAAACGATCCATGTCATCGTCACCACCTCCAACGAAAGATGGTAGAAGAATGGCTCAACAGTCCACCAAT